TAAGGTTTTGGGTCTCCATGCCTGATTTCTACTGAAGGGATAGTCACTTATTCTGGCTGTGTTATCTTTTCTCTTGCCCTGTGTTCCTGATTAATAGCTTGATCATCATACCGTAACTGTTGAGCCATGTTCAGCCAAGCTCTCTTCTTCCTAAGTGGGAAGCCCCCCAATTTGTAGGGGGGCTGGACATGGTCATTTCTAAGAGTTTGGCTATGGGCTTCCTCATTCCAGGATATTTTGAATTACAAATACTGGTTAGACTTCAAGCAGGTTTCCTTTTTCTACATAGGAGCTTCCAATACAGACCTACACTCTGATTTTAGAGGAGTTTGAAAAGGCTGAAACATCATTGTAATTATTGCATAAAAATCAGTTTTTATATTTTTATTGTAAAAATGCTGTAGAGAGGGGTTACAGTTACATGAGCAAGGTAATGAGTACATTTCCTATCAAGCATTGTTATCTCCTCCTTTGTTTTTCCCCTACCATCCCTTCCCTCCCAATGGGATTATTTCCCCCTGATTAAGAGCCATTTCAAATGGCCTGACAATCTCCTTCCATCACCAAATTTGAAGCATTCCTTGTGGAGGCAACTGATGAGAATATTTTTTGACATAAAAGGCTAAGTCCCCAGTCTTTTCTCTTTACTTTTGCTCCTGATGCTGCCAGCAGCATCTTTATTGACTTAAAATACTCAGCCCTTTTGCTTTTAGCTTGCCCCATTGTTACCTTGGCAATCCTGAAGTGTGGTCCTAGTGCAGGAACTCCTCAGGGTTCTTCTGTTGAGTTTTCCAAATGCTTCAGTTCACTTGTTATTCAAGCCCCATGTTGGGTGCCACTTGTTGCTAACCACAACCAGGATCACCAAGATGACAGGATATCTGGCCAATGAAAGAGAAAAGAGAGAAACTACAAAAGGAGACAGCAGGGGATCCAGAGCTGAGATCTCAGTAACAAATCTTTTTATTTAGTTCAGTATTTATACTAGGGTATGAATATCTTTGAAGTTATAACACTATGCATAATTTGCATACAAATGATAATGGAGTCCCTTATCTTATGAAGCAGAGGGAAGCAATAAGCACTCCAACATTAGCATAGACTTTTTGTATTTATTGTGAAAATACTGTACAGAGGGGTTACAATTACATGAGCAAGACAATGAGTACATTTCTTATCAAGCATTGTAGCCTCCTCCTTTGTTTCCCCTTCTCATCCCTTCCCATCCTCCCCCTGCCCCCCTCCCAATGCTCCCTCCCCCCACCAAAGTTGTAAAGTTTGTTTCGACATAATGACTTGTATATCTCATTGTTGCAATGGGTCCACCTGTATACCTATTTAAACAATTTGTTTTTCCCCTTCCCCTCCACAAATTATACTGACATCAAATATAATGAAAGCAAGGGTTATACTGTGAGGGAGGGACATACAAAGCAACAAAGAAATAATCTTATAAATGTGTTAGAAATAATCACATGAAAGAAAACAAACATTTGAATACTTATCTTAGGCCTTTTCTGCTTGACTCAGACATATACTAGATATTGCAAATAAGGGAAACCATGGGACCTATGTTTCTTTGGGCCTGGCTTACTTCACTTAATATAATTTAAAAATTATATTAAGCGTAGACTTTTATCTTATTTCCAAGGCCTTAAACTTTGGATACACAAGCATCCAAAGCCTTGACTGCTTGATATTTCTAGGGCCCAGCTTTCAGCCTTCTGGTTACTGTTGAGATGGCTTTACAATTTCTTAACCCTTTCCAGGCCTCAACAGCTCAGCTCCAGAGTTCCCTACATAAATCCATGATTGAATTCCTTTTATTAAGTAAACAAGCAGCTCCAGACATCAAGCAGGCTTCTGACATCTTCATCAGCTCAAGCATTATTGCAGACTATGAATCCCACCACATGCTCAGGAGCTTTATCACTGCTCCTCAGGTCAGCCAGTCTCTCCTCTCCCATGTCAAGTCCTCCCACATCTCTGTCACTGACACATTGAAGGTTCCACAGCCCCACCTGATGGTAATAAGTAAAACAGCTACAGATCTCAAACTGTATTGGGGCAGTTGTTCATTTACTCCTACACCAAACACAAAGAAATTACTATTATACACGAATAGTATCAGGGACGATCATTAACCCTGAAATCTTGAGCACATCAAAGAAAATCAATGATCTCATAGAGCGTTCAATTTAATGATATTGACAGACATCACATGAACAAAGACTGTTCTGGCTGTTCCTAACTTGGACTTTGAAGATTCTTCCCCTTTTTGTTGTGCTGTCTAGGCCTTTGAACTTAAGGCCTGGATGCTGTCCCTGAATTGTACTGCTTGAGCCACATTTCTACTGCTGACTTTTGGTGGTTAATTGGAGGTAAGAGTCTCACAGAGGTTTTTGTCTGAGCTGGCATTGCACTGTGATCCTCAGATCTCCATCTTCTGAGTGGTTATCTATCCACATTGGGCATTACCTGTGTTTTACATCATGAAGAGAAGTTCTACAGAGGTTGGCATGTAATATATGAGCACCATATAACAAAAATAATTGGATTTTAGGCTTTATTCAAATCCAGACTTGGGCATCTCTCTCTCTGTCTCTCTGTCTCTCTCTGTCTGTCTCTGTCTCTGTCTCTGTCTCTCTCTCTCTCTCTCTCTTTCTCTATCCTTTTCCCCCTTTCTCCTCCCCAAAGTTCCAAGGGATTTATAGGCTCTTATGTCATGAAAAAGGATGGAAGCACAAACATACATTGTTTTGTATCACAGCTACATTTCAGAGTACTCCTAACACAAATGTTTCTTTTTCTTAGGATTCTCCCATTTAATGCATTGTCACAGAGTTTTCAGCCCATTGTAAACAAAAGTTTTCCCAAAGGCCACTCACTTTATGTTCTTGCTTGGGTGTAGTATGGATTGATCCTCACGTGAGAAGGCCTCCCCACTTACTCTAACTTCACTGTCTGCGGTCTTTGTCCTCACTGTCTGAAGATGTTCACTCTATATTTTTAGCTCCAGTTCCTAGTCTTCATCCTTGGGCATGTTGCATTTTACCCTTTCCATGCCTATTTGACTCATAATCCCTAAACTCAGTCATTAAAAACACCATCACTTAGTAGACACCTTCACTTAGACAGTAGATAAAATGGATGATGTAGGAACACACAGATGTGTGAAATGGAGTACACTGAAGTAGATATGAGTCCATGGTTTAGACAACACCTCAGCTTCTGAGGGGCCTCAGCTTCAGATAATAAAGATAGGACATATATGACACCCAAAAGCTTAGGAAATGTCTGGTGTAGAAATGTGTAATGCTCACTAAGGTAGAAATAGCATCAAATTCTTTCCTTAGTAGAAGCCTGGGTTGGTTAGGGGAGCTTATATGAACTGTCCTGGAGGGAGGCATTGGGAAAGAACATTCACCAGAGCAGAAAAACAATCATTTATCAGGATTGTGCAGGGCACCAATGCAAAGACCAGGGGATGGTCTATGCTTTGCAGATCATGATTTTTTATTGCATCAATTTTGTTTTTGCATAGTATTTTTAAAGTAAAATTTAATCCAGCTAGCTACCTAGGCAGCTTTCTGGATTTTCTTTCCTTCCTTGCTTCCTTGCTTGTTTTCTTTCCTTAAATTTCTATTTTTTTCTTTTTTCTACTTCCCTGCATATGTACATTTCTATATGTCTACTTCTACCTAGCCAAATACCTACCTACCTATGAGTAGTGTTATCATGTATCAATTTCTGAGTAATACTGATTATGATTGTTCTTTGGGATAGGACAGGGAAACAGTGAAAACTCTGGGAATCTGGACTCATAATATCTAGTAACAGAGCAGCAGTCTTCTATAATTATTTTAATTGTAAAACTGTTTAATTTTTTCTGAGTTACTGAATTATATAAAAAGCTGTCATGAAAACCATAGCATGGGACTGGGAGGGTGGCTCCATGGTAGAGTGCTTGCCTTATATGCATGAGGTCCTGGGTTCAATTCCCCAGCACCAAATAAGCAGTGGAAGTGGTGCTGTGGCTCAAGTGACAGTGACCAGGCCCAGAGTTCAGGCCCCACAACCAACTGAGAAAAAAAAAAGAAAACCATAGCATGGATCATGTCAAAATTAAAATGCACTTAAAAAAAAAGAGCAGTAGAGAACAATAGAGTCAATCTGCATTAGGTTTCCAAGGAAAAATATTTTCATTTTTTTGTATAAATGCATAGATTTTCATTTTCTTTTCTTTCCTTTATTTTTTTAGAGGCGCTAAAGTTTATTTAACATTTAAAAATGTTTCACTTCACTAACATGACAGACAGATCCTGTACAAGCAGTTAAAATCTAGGGTTAGGGCAGGAGAAATCTTAACCTATTTCAGAGGTGGAGTTAGGGAGCTGAGCCAGGCCTTCAGGATGGACCACGCTCCTCCACTAGGTGGAGACAAGGAAGCTTCAGACTCATTGCCATCAGGAGTCAGGCTTAATGCTCACAAAGAACAAAGAGCTAGATACATTGGGAACTGATATTGGATGATATCAGTCAGTGGTTGTTTCTTCAGTAAGAAAAAAGAAGTTGTCTGGGGTGGGGATGGGAGCTGGAGACTAAGGGCCACCATTCCACAAAGGTCCCCTTCTTTTCCATTAACACTGTCCCTTCATTTTCTTTTAATATCTATTTTATTGTAAAGATATTGTACAGAGGAGTTACAGTTACCATGAGTAAGGCAATGAGTCCATATTCTATTGATCATTGTCACACCCTCCTTTAAAAACAGTTTCTGAGGACAAATTTGTTCTGTGCAGTTCTCTAGAGACCCCCACCCCTGGTGACTTTAGTTCTGGGCTTTGACAGGCATTTCGGCCAGCCTGCATCTGGGCCAGGCCTGCAGCTCTGCCCACTGCTTGAGAATTTGCATGTGCCTAGAGCACAGCCTACTGCCTTGAGAATTTCTTTATAGTCTGCTCACACCCTGTGCAGAAGTCAGTTAGTCAGCACACAGCATGGACATGAGGACCCCTGCTCAGCTCCTGGGGCTCCTGCTGCTCTGGCTCCCAGGTAAGGAAGGAGATGCTAGGAATTTACTCAGCCCAGTGTTAACAGTGTTGCCTCATTCTTATGAACAGTCCAGAGCATAATTAATTGTGTTGATATTTGTCTTTTGTTTCCAATGTCAGGTGCCAGATGTGATGTCCTAATGACCCAGTCTCCATCCTACATGTCTGCATCAGTAGGAGACAGAGTCTCCATCACTTGCAGAGCCAGTCAGGGCATTGGTACTAATTTACACTGGTATCAGCAGAAACCAAGGAAAGCTCCTAAACTTTTGATTTATTGGGCAAACAGCTTGCAGACCGGGGTCCCATCCAGATTCAGTGGCAGTATATCTGGGGAAGAGTACACTCTCACCATCAGCAGTCTTCAGCCTGAAGACTTTGCAACTTATTACTGTCAACAGGGTAGTAGGTACCCTCCCACAGTGATACAAGCCATAACATAAACCTCCCAGGGAAGAAGAAGTGAGAGGCTGGGCTGCCCCAGCTGCTCCTCCTGGGGCGTCTGCCTGCAGATAGTGCTTCTTAGCTAGAGCAAGGCTTTGAAATTCAGTGGGGGTTTGGTCCAGGTGGTCAGTGACAATCCTCTCAATTTATTCTTTCTTCCATCTCAGCCTCAGGGGCACCAACCAGACAAGGTTTCTGTTGTCTTATAAATAACACAAGTCTGTATTTCAGAGCATATGTGATTTGGTATTCAGGTGGATATGATTTCCACTTGGTCACAAGAGAGACATTTGCCTTCTCTTTCCTCCTCTTAAACTGCTGCAAGCACTTCCTGACTTGCATAGTGTTTTCCCTTCTAAGTCTGAGATGAAGGCTCAGCTTGACTTTGTCTTAACATATTAGCACTCCTCGGTTCACTCTTTAAAATGAGGTCTTGCTGGGTACTGGTGCCTCATACTGGGTACTGGTGGCTCAATCCTAACTACTTATGAAGCTGAGATCTAAGCACCTCAGTTCAAAGCCAGCTTGGGCAGGAAAGTCTTTGAGACACTTATTTCCAGTTAACTACCAGAAAACCAGAAGTGGAGCTGGGGCTCAATGTGGTAGAGTGCTAACCTTGAGCAAAATAGCTCAGGGTTCAAGCACTATGATGGACAAAGGAGGTATTTTAGTAAAATCCTGAGGCTGGTAATTCCCTAGATCAGTGGCAAGAACAGAGGGGAAGGAAATCTATAATATGCTGAAAAATGAATGGAACTAGAGATCATGTTGAGTGATATACGTAGGGATCCCAAAGCAAATTGTCCAAAGCCCCACCTAAATTATGATGATGATGATGGTGATGATGATGATATAATAATAATTAAGTAGTAGTGACAATAAAAATCAGTAATACATACACATATACACTTTTGAATAATGGAGTATATTACCTACTGTCAGAAAAATGGTATGTGCTAGACAGGAAAAGACAATGGAAATATAAAGTGGATAGTGAAAAATTTCAAAGTACACTGCATTCAGGTATAGAATTATCAAGAAATCACTTCATGATATTAATATACATAAATTTTACAATGAATCAAGAGGTAAAATAAATAATATGGCATAATTTCACATAGAAAAATACTGGGACTTTCTTGCAGAACTCTTTTTTTTTGGGGGGGGTCCGGTAGTGGGGCCTGAACTCTGGGCCTGTGCGCTGTCCCTCAGCTCTTCAGCTCAAGGCTAGTGCTCTACACTTGAGCCACAACACCACTTCCGGCTTTTTTCTTTTTGCTTATGTGGTGCTGAGGAATCGAACCCAGGGCCT